TCAATCATGAGGAACCTATGTGATAAGACATTGAAAGTGCTTTTTAGCTCCAAATGTGCTAAACAAAATTAATTATCATTAAGTCATATTAATTATCATAGGAATTTCTTTCTACCAATCTCTCATCAGTTCTGCCCCCAAGATTTGGAAAGAAACTTGAGATTTTATCCAAGAATAAAGTGCCAACTCACATTCATTCCCCAAACATCTGTTGGTAAAGAACACATTTCAGAAGTGCTAATATGTTGAAGTATTGTAGTCCTCTCGACTCCAAATAATTTCACATGCATCCCACAGACTGCTGGGAGCAGTTGTAGAAGCTGCTTCCAAATGACTAAAACAGACGGAGGGTTTATTTTTAAATGCACTGCCATTTGTTAAAACAGATTAGTTTTTGAAATTCCCTAAACACCTAAACCCTCAAAAAGAAAAATCTGCCTTCTGGGTTTATTAGAAGGTATTTTTGGTGTCTTCTGGGTCCTAGCAAATGTCTGATTTATGAAAGGGCCCTGGAGATACCCCTCCAGGATCAGTCGAAATCTGGAAAATCTATTTTCAATACCAGGAATTAAAAGGTATTTGTGCTCAAACTTCCTGCCACTAAGATGGCCCTACTCCAGAAGACAGATTGAAGAAAACTGGAATCAAAGGATAGAAGAAAGGATAAAGAAAGGGGTGGGAGAGAGGGAGCTGAACTAACCTGTGAGTCTTTGCACTCCCAGAATAACACCTGGACCCATCCTAAATCTTCAGTTCATTCAGCCCAGTGTCAATTACTGAGTGCCTACTTACTATAGACAATGCTGTGCAGGCTGCTCAGGACCCCAGGGAGAGCAAGGCACGCACATCCAATAATCCACTGTGTTTACAGTCTTACAAGGGAGGCAGACTAGGCACTGAGGGAAATCTCCATACCAGAGAAGGAGAGGCAGAACAAGCCATGTTAAGGGGCTCCAGATCTAGGTTGCAATGTTTGGAAGGCTTAGGGAAGGCAAAGAGGAGGATGGGATAAAATTGCTCCATGCAAAAGAAGCAGCCTGTACAAAGCAGAATAGAACATGGACTCGGGAACATTCATTAGAAAGCTCCTGTGGCTGAAGAGAGAGATGGAGGGGCAGGGGGCAGCATTTCTGTTGGGAATAGTGGCAATGCTGATCTAGCATCAATTATTTCCAAACAGTGAGACTTCTACTCTTCATATAATCAAAGACTTGGATCTCAGGGAGGCTTAGCAAGGCTAGGGTGCTGTTACATGGTCTTAGAATTGCTAACAGGTCAAGGAGGGATTAGGACTATGGTTTTGGTCTCCACAGTTCTCTATTTTCTCTTAACTTGGCTTACTCTGTAGTCTCCTAATTTCTTTCTTTGCCTTCAGTGTTGCCTTAAGTCCATCCTATACCCAGCTTTAAGAGAAATATTCCTATAAGTCAGCTCTGTGCAAGTTTCCCACCTGCTTAAAAAAATCATGGTACATCAATGTTCACAGCGTCATTTACAAGAGCCCAAGAGTAGCAAGAACTCAAATGTCCATCAATAGGTGAGTGGAGAGGCTGGCTCTGTGGTACACCAGTAATGTGCTGCTCAAGAGAAGGTCCCAGAGACCAGCAGTTAGCGTAATGGCTATGTTGCTGGACTCCCATGTAGTTGACCGCGGTTTGCATCCCGGACCCACGGGCTTAAAACTCATGCCGTACACGTGTGCATGTGTGCCCAAGATCCCGAGAGGAGAACGGAAGAAAAGGGATTGCAGTGTGGCCATCCCCCCTGGGGTGTGATTTCTCACCTTCTGTCTCTCTGTCTCTCTCTGTCTGTCTGGTGAGCACACGTACCCTATAGCAAAAACCTATAAAAAAAAAAAAGAGAGAGAGAGAGAGAGAGAAGGTCCCACCAGGCAAAGGAATATGAATCCCTAGCCCAGTCAGCCTGAAACACACCAGGCATGTGAATAAGGGAACTAAAATACGAGCAGACCCTATGGAGGTTGTTCATCCCACCCCTCTTCCTCCCTCTCTCATATATGCATGCACACACTCGATCATGAGTAAAGAAAAAAATGAAATAGATGAGTAATGTCCTATTCTATGTTTGCATCGCTAACAGAGACACCTGAGACTGGGTGATTTATAGAGAAATGAGCTTATCAATTCACAATTCTGGCAGCTGGAAAGTCCAAAGGCATAAATCTGGCATCAGGTAAGTCTACAGCCTGGCTTAATGGAGCAGAGAGGATGGCAGGTGCATGGAAAGAGAGATACATGGCTGTAGGCTGCTCTGTCTTTTTTTTTTTTTTATAGCAATCAGCTCTTGAGAACTAGAAGTTATTGGGACCATCAAGGCATTAATCTATTCATGAGACTGTCATCTTCATGATGCAATCACCACGATCCAATCACCACTCACCAGGTATTACCACCTCTCAACATCAAATTTCAAACCATCATCCAAACCATAACAAGTAGATAAGCTAATGCGGAATACAATTCAGCCTTAAAAGTGAGTGGAATCCAGACAAGTGTATGACAGAGATGAACCTTGAAGTCCTTAAGTTAGTGAAATAAGTCACATGATTCCATGAGGTATGTAGAACAGGCAAATTCACAGAGAGACAGTGGCATAGAGGTTACTGGGGACCCAGGGGAGTCACGGGAGCCAATGGGAAGTTATTGTTGCTTGATTATAGAGTTTCTGTTCAGAAAAATGAAAAATGTCATGGCTAGTGACAATAATTTCACAACACTGGCAATGTACTTAATGCTACTGGATTGGATGCTTAAGATCATTAAATGAAATGAACCAGAAAACAAGTAAGAAAACAAATAAGTGAACAGAATCTTTCAATGATTCTTCCTGTACTCAGGGTAAAACCCAAGCCATGGAGGGAAGTCAAGCTTCCCTGGGTCTACACCCCACTACTCACAGGACTCTGTTCTCCAAACTGTCCTGGTTGCCAGGACTCTGACTTTAAATGCCTACACAGCCATCAGCATTCAGCTCAGACAGTCCCTCTCTAGGGAAGAAATTCTCCACACTCTCCTTCCCCTGTGCTTGGCTGAGGACCTCTCTTTGAGAGACCTTAAGATACTCTTTTAACATCTTTAAGTGTTTGTACTCACACCCCAGTAACTACGAGATTCCTGAGAACTGGGACATATGTTACTCATGATAGAATTCCAGTATTTAGCCCAGCATACTTAAGACAAATTGGGTGCTCAGCAAAATTAGCCACTAATCAATGACAAAACAATGGTCATCAGGGCTTATGCTTATGACCAACCAGGTTCTTTTATTCCAATATAATTATCGTCATCAGAAACATTATTGCACCATCATCACTGTCATCATCATCACCATCATCATTGTCACTGTCATTACCCAGGCACTTTAGACCATCCAGTAGAGTCATGAGTAATAAGTTTAAATAACGAAACCCTAATGAGGTACTTCCAGAAAACAGACACTTAGCCATTTACAATTGTTAATGCTTTATAAATGAGTGGAAAGTAGTCGAGAAGCCCTGGAATGAAATGTACATGGAAAGATGATCACATCCAAGATTCATACTGAGGACAAAGTCTAAGAGAAACCCAAACAACTGCTGCTTCTTTTTTTTTTTTTTTTTATAGCAATCAGCTCTTGAGAACTAGAAGTTATTGGGACCATCAAGGCATTAATCTATTCATGAGACTGTCATCTTCATGATGCAATCACCACGATCCAATCACCACTCACCAGGTATTACCACCTCTCAACATCAAATTTCAAACCATCATCCAAACCATAACAAGTAGATAAGCTAATGCGGAATACAATTCAGCCTTAAAAGTGAGTGGAATCCAGACAAGTGTATGACAGAGATGAACCTTGAAGTCCTTAAGTTAGTGAAATAAGTCACATGATTCCATGAGGTATGTAGAACAGGCAAATTCACAGAGAGACAGTGGCATAGAGGTTACTGGGGACCCAGGGGAGTCACGGGAGCCAATGGGAAGTTATTGTTGCTTGATTATAGAGTTTCTGTTCAGAAAAATGAAAAATGTCATGGCTAGTGACAATAATTTCACAACACTGGCAATGTACTTAATGCTACTGGATTGGATGCTTAAGATCATTAAATGAAATGAACCAGAAAACAAGTAAGAAAACAAATAAGTGAACAGAATCTTTCAATGATTCTTCCTGTACTCAGGGTAAAACCCAAGCCATGGAGGGAAGTCAAGCTTCCCTGGGTCTACACCCCACTACTCACAGGACTCTGTTCTCCAAACTGTCCTGGTTGCCAGGACTCTGACTTTAAATGCCTACACAGCCATCAGCATTCAGCTCAGACAGTCCCTCTCTAGGGAAGAAATTCTCCACACTCTCCTTCCCCTGTGCTTGGCTGAGGACCTCTCTTTGAGAGACCTTAAGATACTCTTTTAACATCTTTAAGTGTTTGTACTCACACCCCAGTAACTACGAGATTCCTGAGAACTGGGACATATGTTACTCATGATAGAATTCCAGTATTTAGCCCAGCATACTTAAGACAAATTGGGTGCTCAGCAAAATTAGCCACTAATCAATGACAAAACAATGGTCATCAGGGCTTATGCTTATGACCAACCAGGTTCTTTTATTCCAATATAATTATCGTCATCAGAAACATTATTGCACCATCATCACTGTCATCATCATCACCATCATCATTGTCACTGTCATTACCCAGGCACTTTAGACCATCCAGTAGAGTCATGAGTAATAAGTTTAAATAACGAAACCCTAATGAGGTACTTCCAGAAAACAGACACTTAGCCATTTACAATTGTTAATGCTTTATAAATGAGTGGAAAGTAGTCGAGAAGCCCTGGAATGAAATGTACATGGAAAGATGATCACATCCAAGATTCATACTGAGGACAAAGTCTAAGAGAAACCCAAACAACTGAAGCCAACTGGCCCTAAGAGGCTGCTCCTCTGCCAGTACCTGCAGCAAGGCAAAATGCAGACGCACATCTACTCACCATCAGCACAGCCCTCTGGAAGAGTCTGGAGTCAGTGGCCTTGGTCACGAGAAGGTGGATGCTGGCCACATCGGCCCCACCACGGTGTGCTGCCAGAGACACGCGCCGAGGGTCCCCGCCAAATGCTCCAATGTGAGTCTGCACCCAGGTCAGAGCTGCCCCCTGGTCCAGCAGTCCCCAGTTGCCACTGACCTCTCTGGACCCTTTGGGAGGAAAGAAAGCCTTTTACCCTCTGATTTTTCAACCTTAGATTTAACAGTCATGGTGCTGTCTATGCCAGGCATATGGCTCCTCCAGGGGACCTGGATTCTTGTCCCCATAGGTTTGGACTATGGGTTCCAAACACAGTGAAGGGCAGGGCTGGCAGGTGGCATGATAGTTAAGGGTGCTGAACTCCCACATGGCTGACTGTAGTTTGAGTCCTGGACCTGGCAGCTTTCTCTCTCTCTCTCTCTCTCCCTCTCTGATCAAATGAACATAAGTGAATGAATAAATAAAGTTAAAAAAAAAAACACAGTGAGGGTCAATGAGAGCACAAGCTTTGGAATCAGATACACTGGACCTGAACTCTGGTTTCACCTTGGCTAACTAGGAGACCTTGGTCATGTCCACTCTGAATCCCAGTTTTCCCATCTTAGAGGAGGGCAATTTCTAGGGCAGCCACTAAGACTAGAGGCAATGCACGTCCAGTTCTACCACCTACCACACCCCATCTAATGGGCAGGAGATGGACTCCCTGCCCACCTCTGTGACCCCACTGCAGGTGGCTCTTCTGATGACAGCCAGGCCAGGATGGGGCTCTGGATCTCATCCCTTCCCATCATGTCATCTTCTATGGCCTTTAATAACATGCAAATGATTTGATTTCTCTTTCCTTTTTATAGAATTTAATAAATATTTGTTAAAAGGCCAGCTCTTTTTTTTTTCTTACTGAAATGATTCAAACACACATGAAAGCACAGCAAAATTATGCTTTTCATTCCTTTTTGGGAGGCTACATGTCTACACCCTCCTGGTTGTCTTGTGAGCTTTTCATTCCTTTTTGGGAGGCTACATGTCTACACTCTCCTGGTTGTCTTGTGAATTCAATGAATCCTCCTAACCATTCTGCTCCATTAGCCTGTTCTCCTTCATGGGACCTCAATACCCCAGACTTCATGTGGTCTCACCTGAGGTTCGCACGCTCCTTTTCTGACTTTGTTCTAGGAAACCTCACCAATTCTAGTTCCCTTACCACCCGCACACTGATGACTCCTGGAGCATGTCAGCAGCCAGACCATTCCTCAGCTCCAAACCCCTCATATCTCTCCAGGAGGTATCACTTCATGATTAACGGGATTCTTATTTCAGTATCAAGTGAGACTCCACATTCCCAAATAGAAGAAGCCAGGAAAAGGCTTACACCCTGATTGCCCAACCTAGTCTTTACAAGCTGAAGAGAACACCAGCTCAGAGCATATCATTCAGAACTCAGAATGATTGCTCCAGCTGGAGAGGCTTAGAATTTCTTTAAATGCCTTTCATGTTTTGTCTGGTAAAGCCGTGGGAATGACACAGTCCCCACTGCAGACTGCTCTGGATTGTGTGTAGCTTCCATTTGTTAGGATGAATGTGTTCATTTGCTTCTAGGTCTCAGCAAGCCCAGGAAAGCTAGGGCACCAACTGAATAGGACCAAGTCCTGCAAACCTGGAAAGTGACACCCATGGTCTGCATTGCCAGGGACCAGGGGACAGGGATTGTCCCTGACTCTCACTTCCCAAGGGCCAATACTGACATTCTTGGGTCTACACACTTCTAGGAGGTCAGAGGTAAGGGGCATTTAGGAATCCACTCCTCAAACAAGTGCAGATTAGACTTCTCCTGGTGCCTAGCCTTATGTTAGGTCACATAAGGGTAACAGATCAGATATCAGCCTGAGCTAGCAGCCTGAGGACCACACAGAAGGCAGCTAACAGGCCATCATAGTCTGAGGTCTTCGGGTCCCACCCTTCTTTTCCTGGTGATTAAAGTGACTCTTTTTTAAAAAAAAATTTTTTTGATAGGTTTTTGGTTTTTTTTTTCTGCTATAGGGCACATGCGCTTGCCAGAAAGAGAGACAGAAAATGAGAAATCACCCCCCAAGGGAGGATGGCCATGTCGCAATCCCTTCTCTTCCATTCACCTCTTGGTATCTTGGGCACATACACACATGTGCCCAGCATGAGTTCAAGACACCGGGTCTGGGACTCAAACCGCAGTTGACTACGTCAAAGTCCAGTGACTGGTCCCAAGAAAGTGACTCTTTTTTTTTTGGAGAGGTTTTTGCTATAGGGTGCGTGCGCTCGCCAGCCAGACAGAGAGAGACTTAGAGACAGAAAGCAAGAAATTACCCCCCGAGGGGGGATGGCCACGCCGCAATCCCTTCTCCTCCATTCTCCTCTCGGGATCTTGGGCACGCACGCACACGTGCCCGGTGTGAGTTTTAAGCCACCGGGTCCAGGACGCGAACCGTGGTCAACTACGTGGTAGTCCAGCGACATAGCCATTACACTAACTGCTGGTCCCAAGAAAGTGACTCTTAAGAGCAAAGTTTGTTTTGATCCAAGAAGTGAATCTGAGATCAAGTTGGGACTCAAGTTCCAGTTCACAGCCAGAACTCTTTGTCTTAGCACTCAACCCAATTCGACAAGCCTCTGCTGAAAATTCTATGATGTGGAGCTTGTCTCATGGCCTACTGGCAAAGGGAACGGGATCCCATATGGCCAATCACACTGCAAATCCCAGCTGCAGTGACTTGAAGAACACATCATGTGTGTATGCTGAAAATCTCAACAGGATGAAGAAACGGAGAAGAGATTATTAATGACCATACTCATTAAATAGGTGTTTCTCCTCTCTGCCTTTGTCTTTCTTTGCAAAGTGCATGTGTCCTTTGGCAATTAACAAAACAAGAAAATTCTGGGGCCAGAAGATAGCATAATGGCTATATCGCTGGACTCCCATATAGTCGACCACGGTTCGAGTCCTGGACCCAGTGGTTTAAACTCACGCCAGGCGCATGTGCGTGTGTACCCAAGATCCTGAGAGGAGAATGGAGGAGAAGGGACTGTAGAGTGGCCATCCCCCTGGAGGGTGATTTCTCACCTTCTGTCTCTCTGTCTCTCTCTGTCTTTCTGGAGAGCACACAAGCCCTATAGGAAAAACCTCTCAAAAAAAAAAAAAAAAGAAAGAAAGAAAAGAAAAAGAAAATTCTATGATGTGATGGTGATGTGCATTAATAAATTCAAGGGCCCTACTTATGGAAATTTCTCTGTTTGAAAAGCCTTCTCAATTCACTCACTCCTGTGCATCAAGTCTGACCCTCTTCCCAGCCTTCCAGATTCTCTGAGATGTAGTCTCAGCGTGTCTAACCAGACTGGGTGCTCGCTTTGCCCAGAGACTGTGCATCCTGCCCTTGTTCAAGCCCTGCAGTCTGTATGAGGCAGAATCCCAGTTCTCCTGACCCTCAGGGTCCTTCCACGTCCCCCATGACCCTCAGGCCACACGCAGGCTGTGCCCCTGCTGCTGTGCAGGGCTGCTGGCAGGATATTAGAAAGCATTCTCTCAGTTTGCCAGGTGACCACAGCCCAGCAGGGAGACCAACGTGATGAAGATAGCACTGCTCTCCAGCCCCTGTGTCTGCCCTGACCTGTCCCCAGAATCCCCCCCGCCTTCTGATCCTGATCACCCTGCAGACACTCAGTTGTTTCCTGCATCATCTGATGGGCTCTCTTACTCATTTGACTTTCAGTGACTTGAAAAGTGCCTCTTAGCAGGTCCTGGGCTCACAGTGGGTTCTCAACAGACACCCGTACGAAGCAGCGTGGCGAGGTGCTGGCTGCGATACAGCTCTACCACCGCCTGGACGTGTGGGACTCTGGACAAGTTACTTAACCTTTGGGTGCTTTGATTTCCCCATCGGTAAGCTGGGGATAGTAACACCACCAGCTGCACTTAGTGGCTCTGATGACGGAATTGATAATTGCAAAGGAAACAGAACTGTGCCTGGCATAAGGCACATGGACTTTTCCCTCTTAAATAAGAGGCTTCGGCTCCAACACCTTTTCATCAGCGTCCTTAGCAGGGCCTCTTTGTCTCCAGTAGCAGACACAGTGCCTGCGGCGGGTGCTCGCTTGGGCTGGAAACTGCCTGCTCTGGTTAGAGGGGACAGAAGACCCTCCCTAAAGGCCTCCAAGTGCCTCAGGGACAATGAGGTCATGGCAACGTGCGGTTGCTGTTGGCAGCCTGGCCTTCTGTCTAGGCCAAAGCACACTTCCTCTGACCTCACGCCCTGCGAGGGCCCACGGCCCATTATCCATTATCCACCCTCTCATTCTCTGTTCCTGTATGCTGCTGCCCCAGTTCCCCTCACTGCATTGCTTTGCCAGACAGAAGAAACTTGTCAGGCACTGGGTGCCCCTGGGGCTGTCCCACCCGCCAGATCCAGGCTCAGGGGACGGGCCTCCTGTGCCCACCAACTGCCCATTTCAACAGGAACCAAGGTCCCCTTTTACTGTGGCACTTGGCTCGTCCTTTCCCAGCTGAGAGCACGGTTTGTCTAGTTAGCAAAGTGGCACGAGCTTCTGTTTTCATCTTTCTCTTTTGAAAAGTACCTCTGGAGTCTGGGACTCCCAGGGACCGTGACTGTCTGGGGCACAGAGCTGCACTCACTTACCACCTGAGGCGGTGTGCCCAGTGCAACTGCTCGGCCCGCCTCTTAGTGGCAGGGGCGGCGATTTGCAGGCCGCTTTGCAGCAGCTGGGCAGATGACGGGCTGGGAAATGACACAGCTCAGTCCTGAAAGAGCCCCTGTCAGGGCCAACAGGTGGTGTGGCGGTTCAGGCACTGGACTATCATGGTTGATTGTGGTTCAAGTTCCTCAGCCTGTCTAAGCAGACTGGGCACCCAGCCCTGTCTGCACAGGGACTATGCATGACCATCCGCTCTGGGAGGTAATTTCTCTTCCCCTCTCTCTGTCTCTCTCCAGTGAGCATACCTGCCCTATGGCAAAAACCTAAAAAAAAAAAAAAGTTAAAAAAGTAAAGGACCCCTGGGTAGGGAAGAAAGGAGGACTAACACGTGTGAGCACTGCTGGGGCCAGCAAGGCCCTGGTGCCTGTCTTTCGCACACTTCATCCAATAAGCTACCCGCGAGTTTATATCCTTCCGTGGACAGGTGGGAGCCTGTGATGAGACCTGGGAAAGGAACTGCACAGCCTCTGGCCCGCAGAGCCACAGAACAGTTCTCAGGCCCCGTCCTGCTCCATTGCAGGGCCTGTGCTTCTGCAGGAGCCCAGGGCTCCAAACAGCCCAGTTTTCTCCACACCTGTGCTCTGACCTACAGTTTCAACTCTTTAAAAAGAGTGGAATGAATAGTGGGGTACAGGGGAGTCCTAGGGCAGTAGGACTATTCTGTAGGATGCCGTAACGCTGGCTGCTGACACCAAGCATTTGACAAAACCAGTGGAGCATACGACACGAAGGTGAGCCTAATGTAAGCTATGGATGTTAGTGAATGACGATGTATCGCTGTTAGTTCAATCGTCAGGTGTGTCACACTAAGCATGGTGTTATTAATGGGACAGACAGAGGACAGGGAACAGGAGCTGTATGTGAACTCTATATGTCCTGCTAAATTTTTGTGTAAACTTAAAACTGCTCTAAATAAAATCTTTTTAATTTTTTAAAATTTTTTACTTTTTTTTTTTTTAAATGGAAGAAGATATCATGGCTGTGTCACAGATGCAGGGGTCATTCCCTGAGGCCGGCATCTCTTCCTTTCCTCTTCTACATATGTCTCTTCAGGTGGGGAGCACCTGTTTCCTGCCATGCCATCCCTCTGCGCTTCTCTGCCCACCATCACTGTCTCTGTGCCTGTTTCTTGACTGGGGTGATGAGGGTCTTTGAGCCCCTCTCTGGTCTGAACTGCAGGGAGTCACAATGTACAAGACCCCAAAGTTCAGGAAGGCGAGACGTGCTCGGAGGTGCAGTGAAGAAAGCAGGGAGAAGTGCCCATGGCTGAATGAGCAGCAGAGCGCGAGCCTGCCCAGACCGGAGAGGAGTGAGAGCCAGGCATCTGCAGAGCTCAGAGGGAGCAGAGTAGAATACAGGGCGTCTCCTTGGGGGCAACGAGACTGACGGAGTTCACTGCCCAGTACTCCATGTGGCGCTGTGGGAATGGGGTTCCTCGGCCTCTCGGAGCCCATCGCTCTCTGAACCGACCCCAGGACACAGCAGCATGGAGCTGCAGAGAGAGCCAGATGTGGAAATCCACGCCAAGGGCGGGAAAGGGCGACTTTTCCGCTCTCTTCCTTCTCTCTTGATGATAGGTTTTCCTTTGAGCAAAATGAACAGGCAGTGTAGGTGTCAGTCTGGAATGGGAGGGGATGGGTGTTCTGGAAGCTTCCATTGCCTCCCCACAAGCCATCCCTGCCAGCTGCCAAAATGAGTTTGCCTCTCCAGAATGAATTCTCAACAAGATCAGGCTCTGTGAAATCAGTCCCCCACCCCCTCAGGGACAGGCGACATATGGAAACTCGCTCCTTCTGTCTCTAAGTGCTCTGAGCCAAAATGTCTGCCGTGTCTGAGAAGATCCGCACGAGAACACGGCTCGACGGGATGAGGCCTGGATTTCACCTCCTTTTCACAGAAAGGAGCTACCGACTCAAGAAACGTCAGGCTCACGTTTGTAGGCAGGAAAGAAAACCCAGGAGAGAGTTCTCCTTCCTTAAAGAAGACAGTAAAGCTGCATGTGAATAATTCTTTGCACACTCTCAAAGCGTCCATAATCCCCAGGTATCATGTTTAGTTCTCAGCTCATGAATAAGAATGGAGATGACTTTCGTCTTAATGCTGAGAACACTGGGATCTGAAAAGCTCAAAGGAAGGCCCAGGGTCTCTGACAGAGCAGGCCAGAGAAGCTGCACATGGCGTGGGTTCCCACTGACACTGCTCCCCTAAAGGAGATCCGACATCTGCTTCTCTCCCATCGCCCACACGGGCATCTGGCTCCACTCACTGCCCCTTCTGTGGGCCTGGAATCTCATTTGTTGTCCAGGCCTGGACTCTTTTCCATGGCACTTAAGGCCTCGCATTTGCAGTGCATCCAGCCCTCATTGCTCAGCACCCTGGGTCTCTGCTCACAGTGGGTGCCTGCCCCACTGACACATTCCAGCCCAGTCCAGTTTTCCGGACCCTTTGCCTTCCAGGTGTGCACCCATTCCTCCCTAGAACACATTCCAGGTCTTAAAGAAGATACTTGGAAGACAGAAAGGAAGCTCAGTCCCCATCCTCGAGGACTTGCAAAGCCATTACAGTCTCTAAGGCCCTTTTATATGTATTATTTCTCGAGCCGCACAGTAATTTTCAAAGTGTCTTAGTCTGTTATTGTGCTTGAAACAGTTTCACATGCACACAGATTGAGAATCCCTCATCTGAAACGTCTGGGAGCAAAAGTACTTTGGATTTTAGGCTGGTTTGAATTTGGAATATACACATGTATGTAACGAGATCTCTTAGGGAGGGGACCCAAGTCTAGGTACACCACATACAACAGCCTGAAGGGGATGTTATAAGGGGTCTCATATTACAGCCTGCTGACTCTGAGCCCACCACACCAGGCCAGGTATGAAATTTCCACTTAGGTCATGTGGCATTCAAAAAGCTTTGGATTTTGAAACATTTGAGATTTAGATTTTCAAATTAGGGATGCTTGACCTGTGGTAAGTGCTTAGTAAATGGCAACTATTATTCTCATTGATGGGTGTCAACATCCTTGGAGGGCCCGCCCCGTGGACATGTAAAATGTTCTGTAGGCCTAACCAGGCTGGAGGGCGGGTGGGGACAGTAAGGTAATGGGGCTTTGAGAGCAAAGGCAAGCAAATGGCAAGCTTCAGCTAGGGGGTCAGCAGTACACCAACACCCACAACTCACCAGAACTCAGGAAGCCGAAGACGCCCACGCGGTAGCTGGCAGTGACCACAATGAGGTTGCCAATAGCCGCCAGGAAGGAGCCGTCGATGGCTAGCTGTCCTTCCCGTCCCCCAGCCTCCATGGAGTTGTGGAAGAACACCAGTACCGATGCATTTGGGGCCTGTGGGGATTGGAGAAGTGGGGGGCTCATTTTCACCGAGGAGAGCCTACTGAGGGCACCTTCCCATGCAAGTAACAGAATTCTGAGCCCACACACAGCCCCTCCTACCAACTCTGCCCCGCAGACTATTCATACCCCATTTGTACCCCGCACAGTGGGCTAAAGCGTGGCCCCCAATTCCCATGCTGAAGTCCTAACCCCAGTACCTCCAGTTGTGACCGTATGTGGAGGAGGCACTGCAGAGGGAATTGCAGTGAAATGGGGGTACGTGAATGGCCCTAATTCAGCATGACCTAAGTCCTTATGAAAAGAGGACGCCTGGACCCAGAGTGTGTAAAAGAGAAGCCTGGGAAGACACAGAGGAGAGACGGTCACAAGGAGGAAGCCCCAGCAGCACCCATCTGCTCACGCCTCAGGCTTGGACTTCTGCCTCTAGAACTGTGTGAATATAAGCTTCTGCTGTCCAAGCCACTGGGTCTGTGGAACTTTGTCACAGCCGCCTGAGCAAGCTGTTGAACCCCATTTACAGATACAGATCTTGAGGGTGACAAAAAGTGACGGCCCTTTGCCCACACTACAGAGGGAGCAGGAA